CGAAAACAGGGGCCATCTATTTGTTTATTACAATTTAATTGCTGAAAACGTGTTTTTGCAAAAACAGTTACAGATATAAAAAAAAGTTTCAAATATAACATTTTCCTTATGCCAAAATGAATATTTCATGTCATATGACTTTTTCTCCTAACTGTTGTATCGCGGCTAGAAGAGATACGAGCGGCGCGTCACTGTCACGTACGGCAGGAGCGCGCCCACGAGAGAATTGTGGAAAATTAGTGGAAGATAGAGAAAGAAGTTTATAATAGAAAATATCCACCATGACAAAATACATCGATACGGTTATGTAACTTTTTTCTCTATTTCTTGTAGTTTATGAGATATTGGCGTTTTTGTATACGGTGATGAGACAGATCAGTGAACCGTTGGACAATCAACCTTAAATATCTCGTTAACTGTTATCAATAGAGAGAAATGTCAAAAAACTCAATAGATGTCTCTTAAAATAACAAACATTTTGTTTTTGAAGCTTTTTTTTCTATCGCTACTCGTTCGTGAAATATTCGCAGCGCGAGTTGAACTATGCGTCTGAAGTACATTTACCCAAGCTCCATGGAGCACAAGTGGTCCGTGCACACTCCCAAACTTAGTTTCGAAAATCAGCGTGGACTTCATTTTCTGGGAATATTTTCAAACAAATCCTCTATCCAAAGGTTTGCATCACTTTCCTCTATCAAAATTTTATTTTTTAATTTCAAATTCACTTTTCTCCGCAGGCGAGAGAGATAGAGCAAAAAGCTTCAGGAACAAAATGTTTGCTATTCGAAGAGGGATTTATTGAGTTTTTGACATTTTTCTCTATTAGCAATAGTTATCGATATATTCAAGGTTCATTGTCCAACGGATCACTGATTTGTCCCATCGTCGTATACAAAAACTTCAATATCTCATAAACTACTGGAAATAGAGAAAAAAAATTACATAACCGAATCGATATATTTTGTCATGGTTGATATTTTCTATCTGAAATATTTTTCTCTATCTTACACCAATTTTCCATAATTCTCTCGTGGGCGCGCTCTTGTCGTACGTGACAGCTGACGTGCCGCTCGTTTCTCTTCTAGCGGCGACAACTCCTCAACTACAATAGTTAGGAGAGAAACTCATATGACATGAAATATTCATTTTGGCATAATGAAAAATTTTATATTCTAAATATTTCTTCATATGTCTGACCATTTTTGCGAAAACACGTTTTAAGGTACTTCCGCAGTAAGTATACTTGGTGAAAATTTCGAAATGGTATAAAGGCGCAATATTTGGATCATATGTTGTTGACCACATTAACAAGATATTCCAAAAATTTCAAGTCCCTGGTCCACCCCATTTTTGAGATATGCATCGCCAAACATTCCATTTTTGTGTTTTTTCCATTTTTGACGATGTATATCTCGAAAATGGGGTGGACAAGGTACTTGAAATTTTGGGAATAGTTTTTGAATGTGCTCAACAACATATGATCCAAATATTGCGTCTTTATACCATTTCGAAATTTTCACCAAGTATACTTACTGCGGAAGTTCCTTAAGCAATTTAATTGCAATACACAAATAGATGGCCCCTGTTTTCGTAATAACAGTTATCAGATTCGTTATCAACACCCTCGAAAATATAAAGTCCAACAATAAAACCCAATGGACCTTCCAATGGGCACATGAATGCCCCTGGGTGTATGGACTACGGGGCCCAAACCTTGCTTATTTCGTTCCTGGGAAATCAGCAGCGAGCCCGTCATTTCGGGGATTCTGTTCACCGGGGATTGGTCCATTGGTGATTCTGTCGCGGACCCATCCAACCAACATTTTGTAAAAACCTCATATCTCCACGTTTTATGGCATTTTAGATAATTTACAGGTATATAAAAATGAAGACAAATGAAATTTCGTATTCACAAAGTGTTCTTTCGCAAGCAAAAGAGAAAAAGGTCACCTACTATCTTCTCCTAAACTATCTGGAATGGTCGTGAATTCCTCAAATTCAAAAACCATGGATAACAATACAGATGTGGAAGAGGAGAAAACAGACTTCACCGAACGCAATGAACGTGATAACAGACAAATTGCAAAAATATCCATTAAAAATCCGTGACATTGAGTCTTTGACGCAGAGTCACATGAAGATTTTACAAGTTTTGTGAAACATACGACGAGGTGAGTGGACCGCAATACTAATATGAGGAAATATATGGAATGTATACAAAGAATATAATGGGACGACTTACCGGTGTCTCAGCATCCACGGTGCACTGTAAACAAATGTCTTCTTCTCCGACAAAGGGATTGACTCGATAACCACTCACTTTTTGCTTACTTGAATGAACTCACTTGTTGTAAAACTGATCAAACGACACTGTAAATTGCCAGTGACCACTGATCATGTGCTACGTTTTTTCCGCTCGGCTTCCAGATTCTCGAAATCTATGATGGTGTCAATACCGAGTTCACTGAATCCCTGCACTTCACAAGAATAATAATAAGCATTTTTATCGTTTTTTTTTCTACATCTCCGTCAGTTTTCAAAGAGAGAGCAGAAGATGCTCTCTCTTGGACAATTTTTTTTTCACACGACTCCATAGGTTGAGAACCCCGCAACTTTGATCATAGTTCTTGAGGGGTTAAATACAACTTCGGTAAGAAGATACAACCCTCTAGCTCGAAATGTCGATTTTAAAGCTATATTGATTGAAGATGAAATCAAATGTGAAAAACGATGAGACGCCTGCCCTTGTGGAGTGAGTACTGTGCACGCTGCGTCCCCTTCTCTCGTTCAGACTCGCTCAGTTGCACCCCCCTCCGCTCCGCCCCACTCTCTCAGTGCGTCTTCACTTCTTATTACGTTTCTCGCGACGTTCTTCCCTCCTTTTTTAAACCATTCCCTGATTAATATAAGGCTTAAGATTCGGAAACTCATCACTATTTCAATATTGTTTACCATTGGACTTTGCGCAACGAGGAATGGAGGTGGAAATACAGCCCCTTGTATGGATATTTTCCTTGAGAAATCAATGCGACAGAAAGAAAGGTAAATCATCAATAAATTTTCGGAAAAAAACATTCCATACCTTTTCACTACCAAAACAAACATGCACTCATATTCGAAATGAAGGTCACTACTTGAGAATTAGACAATTTGGGTGGCACTACTGGCGTTTGGTGTCACGTGTCTCATTCGTTTTTTTTTATATTGGTTGCTTGTCCACCTCCGTTCAATCCTCACGTGAATAAATGAGTGAGTGCGTGAATCAGTGACGATCGAGCGTTCAGCAGCGTTGAACATGTCCACGTCAAGGTCCCATTTAGCACGGAACATCAAGTGACCCGCGCGAAGCGACGTTTACATTCCGTTTGCGTCAAGCTCGTCGGAGGATTGCGGGGATTCTAGAAATACCACTAAACGAAACGTTGTGAATCTCATTACAAAAGTGAGTAAAAAACTACAGGAATTTAAGGATAAACAGAAGGACAAATTCGTGCCTGAGAGTGTTATTTGGGGTGAAAAAAATGCCCCAGACGTTGGATCAAAAATATTGGTGACTGATAAAGTGTCAGCGCTCAGTAAGCCGTGTTCCCTCCGTACAATGGATCACAAAGGCGGTGGATAACCTGCAAAAATCGTTGACAAACAACAGCAGCAGCTCAGAGACTCGAATCAGGTAAGATACAATTCTGAACGCATTCAACCGTGATTATCAAGAGGCAGTCTTTGTTGGAAATTTCCTTCTGAACAAGAAAGGTCCTTTGATATTCTCCCCCATCCCTTCCCAAGATAATCACACATTCAACAAAGTCCATTTTCTGAAGACTTCGAATTCACTTCTCAAATTGATTCCAACAGCTCAATAAATTTTGGATTATCTCGGTAACGAGTAAATTTACGAAATATTTTCGTAAGATCTTTTTTGTGAATAATTTGATTCTCAACCAAAAAGGTCCTGTGTTTGGAGGGAAAACTGAATTTAGGGTGGATTGGAAAGGGGTAGTGGAAATGCCGGTGAAAAACGAACGCACTGAGTCTATAAAAATATACTGATTTATTCGTGGAATCGAACCACCTTAGCGTCACTTGTTACACTCTGTTAATTGTCACTGAAATTAATTCAAACTGTTCTGAATTTAACACTGGAGATTTTCTGAATAATATACTGAATAATAGGAGACTGTACTGAGAATTTAAATAGGAGATGTACTGAGAAAACAAAATGTCTCGAACGGGTGATGTACTGACGCTGTTCGGACAACCGAAAGAGCTTTAGAAAAACGATATACTGCTCGCTCAACTCATTTGCTACGACTCTCTACGACTGACTGACTCTGAGATTCGGTGATTGACTAGGCCTGACCGTTGACCCGAGGTTTCCCGAAGATTTTCGTAAGTGGCCGATCTGTGGTCAACCGTTGATTACTGAATTTTACTGGTTTCAAACACCCCGGGGGCATTCAAATCAGGTTGTTGAATTACTGGATCTGGTTTCTGCTGATGCTTGCTAAGGGGAGAAAAACAGGGTGAGAGACGTATCACTTGCCAAATTAAAAAACATATGGAAGATGATACTAAACTCTCAGTCCTGCAGTTCCTGGATGCCCCTTGCTGTTGATCGTCTTCGTCATCTGGGTGAACTTCTTCCGGAGGTTGTTCTGGTGTAGGTGGGTCTGTAGGAAGCAGACAGAGCTTGGTGATTGGTCTGTCAAACACCGAGTGGACTGCTGTGATGTTCTGGAGATTAGGCGACCCATCTTGATGTCTGCCGACTTCTGCTTTGCTCGTTCTGACTGTGGCTACTCTGGTGAGCCCATCTGCTCCTGGTCTAGACGCGATGACTCTGGCGATTGGCCACTGGGCTGGTGGAAGGTTATCGTCGACCATCAGCACCATGTTACCAACCTCGATGTTCTGCTGACGTGTCTTCCACTTGTAGATAGCCTGGTATCGTTGGAGACACTCTTTGGACCACCTGGACCAGAACTGCTGAACTATCCGAGTCACGGGTTCCATCTCCTCATCTTGAGGGGATTCTCGTCGACGTAGGATGACTCTAGTACTATCTGTAGAGGCTCGCCGATTAAGAAGTGTCCTGGGGTGAGAACCTGGAGATCTTCTGGGTCGTCTGACATCGGACAGATTGGCCTGGAGTTTAGGCAGGCTTCAATCTGAACTAAGACTGTGTTGAGTTCCTCAAATGTTAGCGTTGTCGTTCCCAGGACTCTCTTGAGGTGACGCTTCGTTGATTTTACTGCTGCTTCCCATTTGCCACCAAAATGCGGTGCTTTAGGTGGTGAGAAGCTCCACTGAGTCCCATTGGTGGCGAGAGCAGCCTGAACACGTTGATTTTCTTTAGATGCTTGGTGATAGAGCCTTTCGAGTTGATCTGCTGCTCCGACGAAGGTGGTGGCGTTGTCACCGTACATGACTGCTGGAATACCTCGTCTTCCGGTGAATCTCTTGTAAGCTCCGAGGAAGGCTTCTGTGGTTTGCCTGTTGACGAGCTCTAGGTGAACTGCTGACGTGGTGAAGCACACGAACACTGCGATGTGCACTGATCCCGGTTGAGCATTCGTGGGTCTCCACTTGAGGATGGCGAAAGGACCTGCATAGTCCACCCCCGTGTGGAGAAATGCTCTTGCTGGTGAGACTCTGGTTGCGGGCAATTGACCCATATGTTGCTGAGCCTGTCTAGCTCGGTGTCTAGGGCAGATAGCACAGCGTAGGATGTAGGCTCTAACTGTGCCCCTGCCACCATTCATGATGCCCTCCTCGTCCAGAGTTGGGGTGAATTTCGCTAACTGGTGATTTCTAGGTAGCTGCTGATTTCTGAGAAGTACCCTGAGTTCTGAAACAAAGTACTGGTGTTGTGTTATTTTTACCCAAAATAATCTCGCAACGTTGAGTTCTCTGGTCGTCAAGATAGATCCCGGGGTCATTGGCTGCCTCCTGAATCTGTCGATGGCCCTGTTGATGGTCACTGTTACTGCTAACAGCTTTGCCATCGTGCTGTATCTGTTGAGGAGCTCGGCAATCTCGTTGATTCTCTATACGACTGGGTGAGATTTTGTNTTGAGTTCTCTGGTCGTCAAGATAGATCCCGGGGGCATTGGCTGCCTCCTGAATCTGTCGATGGCCCTGTTGATGGTCGCTGTTACTGCTAACAGCTTTGCCATCGTGCTGTATCTGTTGAGGAGCTCGGCAATCTCGTTGATTCTCTGTACGACTGGGTGAGATTTTGCTGGTTTCGCTTCTTTGGCCACTTCTGGGATGTCCATTGGTGGAGCATCGATAGTTGATCGTGGCCAGTCTTCAGGGTCCTGATTTATCCAATCAGGTCCTGTCCACCAGAGGTGATAATCTGCTAGCTGACTTGGTGTTATGCCCCTGGAAGCGCAGTCGGCTGGATTCTCCTTCCCACTGACGTGTCTCCAAGTGGCATTCGGGAGAGTTTCATGGATTTTTACCACTCTGTTGTGGACGAAGTCTTTCCATCTCGAGGCCGGACTCCTGATCCACGCGAGAGCTACTGCTGAGTCTGACCAAAGGTGAGTTTCTACCTGGTCTAGCTGGAGCATCTGCTGCGTTGATGTTACGAGTTGAGTTAACAGGAGAGCTGCAGTAAGTTCCAGACGTGGAATAGTCATGCGCTTGATCGGTACTACCTTGGTCTTAGCGCAGACCAAAACTGTGGAGGCTGGCTCATTGAGATTCTGAGTGCGAATGTAGACCACGGCACTCATAGCTACTGTTGAGCCATCTGCGAATCCGTGTAATTGGATGTCGTTTGTCTGAGGTGAGAGTCTTAGCCATCTGGGTACTGCAACTTTATCTAGTTCGGTGAGTTCGTGGCGAAATGACTCCCACCGGTGAATGTACTCTTCGGGGAGGGGGTCATCCCAACTGCATTTGAGTTTCCAGAGATCCTGAAGGAGAATTTTCCCCTGGACGACGACTGGAGCGATAAATCCCAAAGGATCGAAGATCTGGGCTATCTCTGAAGAGACAATTCTCTTGGTGATCGTCTCTGTGTTGAAGTCTCTGGATTTGTACTGGAATGTGTCGGACGACTGATGCCAACACAGACCCAGTACCTTGGTGACGGACTCTTCAAACTGAATGACTTCTTCCTCTGTTGATAGGCCGAGCTCATGCAAGAGCTGAGGGCAATTACTGCTCCATTTCTGGAGAGGGAAGCCTCCTGCCTGGCAAAGTCCTTGTAACTGCCATACTATCTCCTTGAGTTCTGCTGGTGAGTCTGCTCCGCCGTAGATGTCGTCTACGTAACGACCTCTGGTGATTGTCTCGACGGCTGCTGGAAATCGTGGACCCTCGTCCTCTGCTAACTGCTGGAGAACTCTCAGAGACAGCCATGGGGAGCAATTGAGCCCGTAGGTGACGGTGGTGAGCTGGTAGGAGATTTGCTGTTTGTTGTCGTCAACCCACAAAATTCTCTGCAGGTCCCAATCGTCCTGATGAACTCGTATTTGCCTGAACATCTTGACTATGTCAGTGCCAAACACGAGCCTGTGCTTTCTCATCCATGTTAGAACGTCTATGGCATTGGTCTGAACTTTTCCACCTGGAGGTAGAATGTCGTTGAGTGACGTTCCTGATGAAGTGGGGCTGGAGCCGTTGAAGACGACTCTCAACCTTGTGGTGATTGCATCTGCTCTCAGAACCCCGTGGTGTAGAAGATAATAAACTGGAACGGGTTCTGCTGTCTCTGGTGCTCTTTGCATTTGACCCAAAGTTTCGTACTCGTTGATGAACTCCTTGTACAGCTGGGCATATGCCTGATTATTGATGAGTTTGCTGACTGTAGATCTGAGCTGACGCGAAGCTTTGAATTTCGACTCCCCGAGAGCTGCTGTGGAGGTTTTCAACGGGAGCCTCACTATGTACCGTCCCGTTGAATCTCTGCTGTGTGTAGACCTGAAGTGTTTCTCACACTCCAGCTCGTCTGGTGATAACTCTGAATTTTCTGACTGCTGAACTGGTAACTCTTCCGGGACCCAAAATTTCTGGAGAAGTTCTAGAAGTTGTTCGTTTGAGGACGTCCTTACAGCANCTGGACCCAAAATTTCTGGAGAAGTTCTAGAAGTTGTTCGTTTGAGGAGGTCCTTACAGCTGATAGGGAGATCCTCGCTGAACAACCGGTGCAGTTGATTGGACCTGATAGAATCCAACCAAAGACTGTGCGTTGGCCGACGACTTTTGACTGCTTGGACTTGACAACTTCATCTCTGATGATTCGCCCGTAGTTGTCAGCCCCTATGATGATATCGATTGGTCCGGGCTTGAGATACTGCTGATCTGCTAGCCGGCGATTTTCCAATGAACCGATGTTCGCTGAGGTACATGAGAACGATGGTAGAATTGCGGTGAGTTTCTTCAATATGTGGGCGCTGATCTGAACCTGTTAATTTCCGTTGATTGCCTGAAGTGTAACTGATACCAATCCTCTCGTGCTGCCGGAATTAACTCCTCCAATTCCGATTAATTCCAACGTTGTTGATTTCCTGGACAAGTGCAGTTGATTTACTAGTTTTTCTGAGATGAATGACACCTCTGATCTCTGATCGATGAGGACTCTGGCTCTGCTGGCACTGTAACTCGGGCTGTCGCCAACAGCACCGATTGTTGATCTTCTGAAAGTTGATTTGACTGCTGGTTCCCATTGGTCATCTGATTGTTGAGGTTAACTGCTGCTGTTGATGTACTGGGCTTAGCTGTTGAGAATGACCAATGAGAAAGTGAATGTACTGATTATATTAAAGGAACATTCACTTACTCTGGTCCTCGTCGATCCTCTCTTCTGCAGGTCTGTTGGCAGTTCCAGAGAACCCTGCAGCTTCCGAGNGGTGAGATCCTTTGCACTTGTGGCATTGTTCGTCTGAGCTGCACCTGTCTTTTTTGTGCGTGCCCAGGCACTTGAAGCATAGTTTCTTGTCGATGGCCAGGCCGTTTCTCTTTACTGGGTTCAGCTCCTTGAATTGCTGACACTTGTCAACAAAGTGGTTCCCTTTATACATGGAACACTCTTTCCTTTGGTGACTATTCTGCTGAGCGTTGTCCTCCACTTGTTGAGTTGCTGCGTAAGCTCCTTTCTTCTTAATAGGTGGTTTGCTGGGAGCGGTGATCTGCTGTCTCAGTGGAGTTTGGACCCTGCGTTGATACACCTGGCACAGGACTCCACGAATACGACGAACTCTTTGAGACTGGGGAAATCCTTGGCGTCTCCCAATTTCATTTCCCATTGTCTGAGGGTCTCTGCGTCCAAGGACTTCCTCAGGAGGTGAGCGAACAGCTGTTCTGTTAGGTTCGCTTCTGAAAGGCTGGCCACTGTTCTGAGCTGGTCCAGCGACTCGACCACTGCTGCCACGTTGTCGGTGAGATTCTGTTCCGTGGGTTTGGTGATTTTTGGCAACTCCAGGACTCGATTAAATAAGTACTGTGCCAAAAGTCTGGGATCATCGTACTTCTTTTGGAGCTTTCTCCATGCGTTCTCATAATTCTGATCGCTGATGGGTATCGTAGAGATCAGAGCTGCTGCTGGTCCTCTGAGGCTGCTCTTCAGCCTCACCAATTTCTCCACTGGGGGAATTGTAGATTTGCTGCCCACCAGTGAAGTGAAGAGGTCACTGAACTCCTTCCACTGTGAAGGATTGCCATCAAAAGGCTTGATGTCCAGTCTCTTCAGCTGATCGTGATGTTGAGGACTCGGTGGTGTACTGGGTGACTGAGCTTTCTTAGCTAGTTGACCTCTCAACCTGCTGATGAGCCTGACGCATTGCTTCCTGGTGGTGG